TGTGTTCTGTTGTGCATAGGGTTTTCAGAGGCCTGCTATTTCAGAAGTGGGTGGCCAATCCTTCTTCCTAGTCTGTCTTAATCTGAATGTTCAGAAAACCTGAGAGAGGTTTATTGTAAATCAGAACTTACTCGATTGTGGTGCGTAACAGTGGACTTCAATAAAACATTGATTACAAGTGCCAACAGAGAGCATACTTGTCTGGTTTCCTGCTCACAGGAGAGTAAATATTTCTCCACTGAGAATAATGTTGACTGTGGGTTTTGAATAGGTGTTCTTTATTATATTGAGGAATTTCCCTTCAACAATAAGAATTTAAGAAGTACTCTTTAAAATCACTTGATGTGCATCAGAAAGCTGGATAATGACTCGAGATGATAGAAGGAGAATTGATGCCTTTGAGCTGTGGTCTTGGAGAAGTGTATTGAATATACATGCACTGCTAAGAAAACAAACAGATTTGTCCTGGAGAGGTTGAAGCCAGGCTGCTTCTTGGAGGCAAGGATTCTGAAGCTTCGTCTGACATACTTTGGACATGTTGCAAGGAGGGACCAGTCTCTGGAAAGGGATGTCATGCTTGGGAGGGTGGAGGGACAGCACAGGAGAGGAAGACCCTCGATGAGATGGATTGATTCCGTGACTGAGGTAATAGGAGTCGGTGTGTTGGAGATAATGAGATTCGCACAGGTTAGGACAGAGTTTAGGGCTGTTGTATATAAGGGTTGCTATGAGTCGCAGGCGACTCGACAGCACATAACACAACAACAACAACAACTCTATACCATATCTACTCCTTGGAGGCAAGGATTCTGAAGCTCTTTCTGACATACATTGGTCATGTTGCAAAAAGGGACCAGTCCTTAGAGAGGGACATCATGCTTGGGAAGGTGGAGGGGCATCATGCAAAAGAGGAAGACCCTCAGTGGGATGGATTGACTCAGTGACTAGGGTAATGGGGGTGGGTGTGTTGGAGATGATGAGATTGGCTCAGGATAGAGCCTGGTTCAGAGCTGTTGTACACAGGGTCGCTATTTGTCACAAGCGACTCAAGAGCACATAACAGCAACAATATAAGATGGTTGCAAAGAGGTCTTTATACTCAGTAAAGTAATTAAATCACAAAGGAACAAATATTATGTAACAACACTTATAAAAAACTAAAGAAAGGTTTCTACACAAAAGGAATCCTTGATAGATGAGAAGATAGGGAATTGTTATTGTTGTGTGCCATCTAATTGGAACCAACTCATAGGTGACCCTCCAGCAGATTTCCACAGGCAGTAAGTCACATGGGAGAATATTGCCCATTCTTTTCTCATGAAGCACCTAGTGGATGCTAACCATATACCTTTGGGCTGGCAGTACAGCTCCTTACTGTCAGGCCATCGGGAGTAAAAGTTAGCAAATAGATAATAAACATGTATTAAGGGAAGTGCAGTACACAATGAAAGAATAATCTGCACATTATCCTTCAAGAAAGTTAAGACACAGTGAAGTACAGAAAGATTAATATAAATCAGAATTAATGGAGGAAATGAAAAAGAGTGATTACATTGTGATTACAAAATAATGCTATAAAACAATATGTGTCTTATGTTAGAATTTTCTTCCACTGTCTAACTTTAAAACTATTTTAAAGTGGAGATCCTGAGTTTGGGTTAATTTTGGGAAAATGAAATTACTTTTATTCATAAACAAAAAGATAAAGCATTTAGGAAGAATATTGTATTGTTCTGAAAAAAATGGTGATTAGTCAACCACAGTACAGTACAAGCTACAGTGCAATAAACCAGGGACTGCTAATGTTGTGAGACTTAAAAAGAACAACTCTCCGGAATGACCAAGTAGCTATATATGAAGAAGTCATCATTAGTAATATCTTCATCAATTGTCGTATAGGGTTTAGAATCCATTATACAGTCCTTGGATCATTGAAAAAGAACATAGAAATTATTTAAACAGAGTTGCAAGATTATAAATGTTTGAATTTTTAAGAGGGAGATGCACATTTTAATGACAACTTAATAGTTCTGCACATGTATATAAAGTTCTAACCTGAAATATAACCTTAGGGTTCAGGGGAGTTTGAAGATCAGAGGAATACACATATTTGTTGAGTATCTACCTAGTATATTCAATAAACTGTTCTAAGAGCTTCTCATCTGTTAACTCATTTTAATATATAGCTAAATTATAGGTATAGACTTCCTCTTCTTTCAGATGAGAATCCCAAGACACTGGGGAAAATCATTTGACCTTGCATCATATAGATGAAATTAATTATATGACTGTATTGTTGTTAAGTGCCTTCCTTCAGGTTTTCACAGGCAGTGAAACCTACTGTAAGTCATTTAGTTTACTCCAACTCATAGTGAGCCTGTGTATACTAGATGGCAACTTTGTCTGATCCTAAGCCAGCCTCATAATATTCACCGTACTCCTATTTGTTATATATAAAATTACTGTGTAGCATACATGACTTAGGTTATAAGGAAAACATATAATGATGATTAAAATTGTTGAACATTACAACTCCTAGAAAAATGTAAAGTTTTAGACTTCTTGATTGTTTAAAAATAGCCCTAACCAAAGTCATAGAGATGATGTCTCAGAGTTTCTTCTATAGTTCAGTATTGTTATGATCTCAGATGTGTTCTTATTTGTTTCTTTTTCTGAAGGTGGATAACATAAATGAAGCTGTGATGGATTTGAAAAAAAAGAAGATTCGTAGTCTAACTGAAGAGGCCACAATAGGAGCACATGGAAAACCAGTGATTTTTCTGCATCCCAAAGACTGTGGTGGAGTCCTTGTAGAACTAGAACAAGCTTAATTGTGAAATTGTATCAATTGATCTAAAAAAAAAAAATTTGTACAAAAATCTAGCAAAATTCAAATAGCAGAAAAATGAATTAGATAGTAAACTTTTGGTGGCAGGTGGCAATGAATTTAAATTTATGTGATAGGAACAGCACAAGAAAGGAAGATGAGAATGTAAAACTTGAAGAACGTTATCAATGTCACTGAATCATTATGTATAAACAGTTGAATTGGTGCTTATTTTGCTGTATATATTCTCAATAACAACAAAATAAAATTGAATAAATGTATGCTATGGTACCCTTGATTCCATTATAAAAATTCAAACTTCACAATTAAATGCAAGAAAAAGGTTAAAATATATTTTACATGTGTGTTGTTATTAGCTGCCATCAGATTATGACTTAGAGCGACGCTATGAACAGCCAACCTGAACTCTGCCCTATGTTGTGCCATCCTTACCATCTCTGACCCTCTCAAGTCCATTGTTGCATTCATCCATATCAGTTGATCTCATTGGGGGTTGTCCTCTCCTTTGCTGATCCGTCATCTTTCTAAGCATGACGTCCCTCTCAAGTGAACTGCCTTGCCTAGCCACATGCCCAAAATATGAAAGATGAAGTTTCCCCGTCTTGGCTTCCAAGGAGCACTCCAGCTTCACCCTCTCTAAGATATATATTTGTTCTCTTGACAGTCCATGGGATATACAGTTATTCTCCGAAACCACAATTCCAAAGCATCAATTCTTTTTCTATCCTCCGTATTCCTTGTCCAGCTCTCTGATGCATAGAAGGTGATTGAGAAGACCATGGCCTGAATTAGGCACACCTCAGTCCTCAGACTAACATCATTGTGCTTCAGCATTTTGGAAAGGAGATCCCTGATAGTGAACTTGCCCCATAAAATATATCTCTTGATTCCTGACTGCTGGTACCAAAGCTGTTGGTCGTCGATCCAAGGAAGGTGAAATCATTGACAACGTCAATCCTTTCTACATCTGTCATAATGTTGACTGCTGGTCCTGTAGTAAGGACTTTGTTTTATTGATGCTGAGTTGTAATCAATACTGAAGGCTATAGTACTTGATCTTCTGCAGCAAATGTCTCAAGTCTTCCTCACTTTTAGCAACCAAGTTTGTGTCATCTGCATAACACAGGTTATTATGAGTCTTCCTCCAATCATTGTACAGTCTTACTTACAGAGTCTAGCTTCTCAAATTATTTGATCAACATAGAGATTGAATAGGTATGGAGAAAGGATATAACCTACACACACTCTTTTCTTAATTTTGAACTATGCAGTTTTCCCTTGTTCCATTCACACAACAGACTCTTGAGCTAAATGTAGGTTTCTCATGAGCACAATTAAGTACTCTGGGATTCCCATTTTTCTCAGTGTCAGCCATAATTTGATATCATCCACGTAGTCAAATGCCTTTGCATAATCAGTAGAGCAAAAATAGACATTCTTGTATTTTTTCTTTTCAGCCAGGATCCATCTGACACCAACAATGAAATCCCTGGTGCCACGACCTCTTTTAAATCCCACTTGAACTTCTGGCAATTCCCTGTCTATGCACTTTTCTAGCCACTTTAAAATGATCTTCAGTGGTATTTTCCTTGCATGTGATATTAATGATATTATTCGATAATTTTCACATTCTGTTGGATCAACTTTCTTGGGAATGGGGACAAATGAGGACCTCTTTCAGTCATAAATGCATGATATACATACACAGATCTATATAAAATTATATTAAATAACATGAGGCTGGAGACTAAATGTAAATTGTACAAGCAATCATTTTTTTCATTGCAAATACTTTTCAAAAAACTGTATGAACACATGGACTTTCTCTGATGGAATATGCAATGATCAGATTGACTACATCTATGGAAAAAGTCAATAGAGAAGCTGTCAAATCACCATGATGGGACTGTAAAGTGGTACAGCCACTGTGGAAGACAGTTTGACATTTCCTCAAAAAGCTAAACATAGGAATTCCACATGACACAACTAGCTATTCCACGGCTTAGAATATATACACTTGAAAAAATTAGAACTGAGACACAAATGGAGATTTGTACACCAATGTTCATCTTGTTTTATTTACCATTGCAAGAACATGGAAACAGCCCAAATGTCCAACCACAATTGAATGGATTGAGAAATTATGGTACATTCACATGATGATATATTATTCAACACTCAGAAGCAGTGCTTTCCAAAATCATTACATAACTTGGGAGAGCCTGTAGTGCATTATGCTTAGTGGACTAAGTCTCATAAGGACAAATACTGTATAAGACTATTATTGTAGAAATAGATAACTAGTAAAACATCTATGAGGATCCAATGGGGGGAGAGGGTAGGAACAGAGGGGTGAGGATGGGCAGGGGCGAAATCATAAAGTCACAATTTGATGGTAGAGGGAAGGGGTAGGTAAAGAAGATGGGAAAAATCCAGTGGGGAGCTGGAAAGACAGATGGGCATAGTTAAATGTTGATTAATTTTATACAATATAATGAATGGGAATGTATGAAACACATACACACACACACACAAGACCGTGGACTGTGGAACAGATCATCAGTGGCTCAAGTGCTGGTTCAAATTGAAGTTGAAAAAAAGAAAAAAAATCCATGAGAACCAAAATAACACCTTGAGTCTCATTGCTGCTGATTTTACAAACTAAATAATAGATTTTAATGCATTAAACACTTATGACTGAAGACAAGTTGTGGTATGACATAAAAGATATCATCTGTGAAGAAAGCAAAAGATATTACAAAGGCAGAGGAGAAAGACCAAAATGGATGTCAGAAGAGACTCTTCAAACTTGCACTAGAGCAAAGGGAAACCAAAGAGAAGAGATGCTGAAATAAGAAGATTGTAAACGGCAGTTCAAGAAGGCAAAGCAAAGTATTTGAATCAAATGTGCAAAGTTCTGGAGTTAGAAAACCAAAAGGAAAGAATAAACACTTATAATTTCTCAAACTGAAAGAACTGAAGCTTAAATTCAGCCTCAAGCTGCAATGCTAAAGGATTCTTTGCGGAAAATTGTGAATGGTGTAGGCAGGATCAAAAGAAGATGGAAGGAATGCACACAGAATCACTGTACCAAAAATAATTGGTCCATACTGAACCATTTGGGGAAGTAGCATATGATCAAAAACCAATGGTAAAAAACCAAACCAAGGGAGCTCTGGTGACCTAGTGGCAAGGAGCTGCAACTACAATCCCAGAGTCGCACGGTTCGAATCCACCAGATGCTCTGCCGAGGAAGAAGGGACAATCTCCTCCTGTACCAGTCAGATCTGATTTGATGGTACACTCACACAAAAATAATAAAAACAAACAAACAAACAAACAAAAAAACAAAACAAAACAACAACACACAAAAAACAAACCAATGGGAATGAAGGAAGACGTTCCAGTGCTGGATCTGCTCATTAGACTGCGCCAAGACATTCAAAAGACAACTACCCAACCAACAACTGTTTTCATTTAAAAAATAATAAATTAGACAATATTAAAAAAAACAAAACAAAAGACAACTACCTGATAGATTTCCATTCTGTAAAAAACTTAAAACAGTTTGTAGAAATTATTGAACAATATAGTTAATATCATGCAAGTAATATCATGCTGAAGGTTATGAAAAAAATGGCTCGATCAGTACAATCAACAGGTAACTTGCAGAAATTCAGGCTGGATTTAGAAGCAGTGAGAGGAATAAGGCATGTCATTGCTGATGTCAGATACTTCTTGGCTGGAAGCAGACGATATCATTACCTATTATTATTGGTGTGAGCCATCAAATCTACTGTGACTCATAATGATCATACTGAGGCAGGTCCTGATCCAAGAAGACAGAAGCTAAGCAAAAACATGTAACATGTTCAGTAGGCTCAACCACTAGGAGCAGCTGCTGGTGAACAGCTTTAACCACAGAAGTTCAGCAATAAATAGCAGAAAACCAATACAGCAGCTGGGAGTTGGCTGCCCATTAACCAAATGAGGGAATTTCCACTAACCTGTAACCTTTCTCTCTGTGTACCTAACTGACCTGTAGCTCCTTTGCCCAAAAGGCTTAACTAAGCAACCATCATGTAAAAATCAACCAATAGAAAAGAAATCCCAATTAATGCCTTGTAAGCCTTGTAAGAGAGAACATTTTGTTTTCAGGGAGTCTGATCCTTGAAAGACAATAAAGTTTTCCTTGCTTCACCAAAAGAGCTTGTAGTGTTTTTCCTTTGCCTGGAGTTGCTGGAGAGGAGGTCAAATTCCTGCAACACTATTAACAACAGATGAACTATGAACACCTATACATTTCTGCACCATCCTCAAGATATCTGACATACTCTGATCTGTTGTTCTTATCATTATATGTTAATCCATCTTGTTTAGGATCTTCCTTTCTTTATTTGACCCTCCAACTTTCTCAACATGGTGCCTTTTTCCAAGGACTATTCTCCTGACAACATAGCCAAAGTATATGAGACAAAATTTCACCATCCTTGCCTCTAAGAGCACCTGGATCCACTTCTTTCAAGAAAGATTTGTCATTTCGCCTGCCTATAGGGCAGGCTTCAAAGCTGCTGTATATAGGGTTGCGATGAGTTGCAGACAACTCGACAGCACATAACAACAACATAGGATATTCACTACCCTTTGCCAACACCACAGTTCAAAGATATCAGTCATTCTTTGGTCTTCCTTACTCATTGACCAACTTTCATATGCATAGGAAGCAGTTAAAAATACCATCTCTTTGATCAAGGCACATTAGATTAGTCTTTACACTGACATCTTTGCTCTTTGGAGAGGTTCTTGACAATTCATGAGAGTTGTTTGTGGATCCTGGTAAAAATAAGCAGTCATTGACAACTTTAGGATTTTTTTCCTATCTGTTATGATGTTACCTATTAGTCTAGTGGTGAAGATTTTTTTTAATTGATTTGCTTTGTGTTCCACACACTATTCCTTATTCATATTGTGTTTCATGCAATC